TAGAGGTGAGGGCCGAGGTGTGCCGCCAAACCCTGCCCCTCCCGAAATTTTTCACAGACCCCCATTTTTGGGGGTGCGGTGCGCATGCATGCCCGTGCACTGTGTGCCGCACGTGTGTGGTGCAGCGCATCTTGATGCGCCACAGGCATGGTTTTCCTTTTGTAAAGAAAAAGTAAATAAAAAATAAAGAGACAATTGCGTGTCCTTTCCCCCCCCCTGCAATTGATGATCGACTAGCTGGGCAGCAAATCAAATGACCAATCAATCGACCGAGGAATGAGTCAACTGACCAATCAATCAACTGGCCAAACAATCAATCAAATATTGAATGAAACGGTTTTCACCTTTTAGCAGTAGCAGATGCATTACCCAGGGTTCGATCCCTAGACCTCACCCTACCCATGTACAGTATCTGTGTAGACCCGAGAGTTGAACCTGTGACCTGTGTATTCGTAGACATTTGGTAGGTCTGTCACAGGTCCATAGGTAGCAAGGGTTCGATCTGTAGATCTATAGGGTAGAAGTCTTAGCGAGTTCCAGAAGTCTAGCTGTAGTCCTACTAGAAGGTAGGCAAGTGGGCAAGTGGTCAAGTGGCGAGGCAAGTGGTGGACTAAACTGCAGTGTAATTGCAGTACGACCACGGTAGGATGGCAGTGAGTCCACAGTCAGTCAGCGGTAAGGTCCAGTCAGTCCCAGTCCGGTCCAGCAAGTACCACGGGGGACTGTGAGCACCATGGGCCGATGGCAAAGGGCAGACCAACGAGTTTCCGAAGTATAAATCAAGAGGCAGCGCCCAGCCTTTCATTCTTTCCTGCGTGAGCCATGCGGAAGCGCTGCCACAGCGACTTGTGCAAGGAGGTCTGCAGTGAGCCTGGAGGACGCAGTGGGCGAGAGAGGAGGAGTTAGCATAGCGATAGGGTAGAGGCAGCCATAGCTGCCATAGCTGTAGTTAGTGTGAAGTGTGTGTGTGTATGTGCGAGTGCTCAGAGTTACGCGTGTGGGATATCCAGGGTGATCCGGTGTGTGTGAACAGTGAGTTGATTGGGCGCTGAGTCGCCATAGCCAATTGAAAGTGAACTCGTATCTGGAAGCCATATCTCTGAGTTTTGAGTGGGCGCATGTCGCCAGTTTGCTGCGCTGCTGTTTACATGCATGAAAAGTGTGACTAAGTACGAGTCTGATTGCATTGAATAACACCAAAAAAGAAAAAGAAAAAAAAAATTGCAAAACGAGTCTGATTGCATTGAATAACACCAAAAAAGAAAAAGAAAAAAAAAAATTGCAAAATGAATCTATCAGTACTCAAGCTATTTAATGAAGAGTCGTTAAACGGTTCAAGACAACAAATTATTAATTGATTAATTTGAAAAAATAATTGCATTTGAAATTTCTAGCGGAACTATCTTTACTCCCTCTTGCTTTCCTTTTCGGGAAGTTTGATCCGACTGACTGAGGGCATTGTAAAAAAGCAGCTTTTCATTTGACTTATTTCGAGCATTTTTTTAAAGAAAGGGTTACTACTACTAGTAACTTTTATTACCTTATTGTTGTAAGGGAGCGTGTTTTGGCCGACGAAAACCGTTTGGGACACAAAACCGACGCGGGCGGGCGCGGGATGAGGCCGACGAAAATTGCCGCGGCTGGCGCGACGAAAATTGCCGCAGCTGGCGCGCAGGAGAGGCCGCACGCGGATGAGGCCGACGTGCTAGCGGGCAGGCGGGCGGGCAAGATGGCTGCGGGTGGGACGTGGGAGAGGATGGCTGCGTGTCCCACGCGCGTAGGGAATACCGAGCCGCGCCGCGAGGTCGGAGAGTTATCTTCTCTCTCTCTCTCTCTCTCACACACACACACACACACACACACACACACACA